ATCCTTAAGTTAAGACTCAAGGATTTTAAAATTTTTTTTAGATTGAGAATCTTTTTTTAGATTATTGAAACCATTTTCTTAAAGAAAGGATATTAGTAGAATTTTAGTACGTAATATTATTTGAAAATCCAGATTAGTCTCTTGATTTTCCGGTAATAAATAAATCTTTTAAATAATAGGATAAAAATGACCAAGTTTTTAAAGAAATTTACTTAATAATTTTAGAACAAATATACTTAATTATAACTTACATAGATTCTTAATAATAAAGATTTTGTGATTCAAAGATATAATTTAGAAATTATTTAATAGACTTTTGATATATCTTTTTCTGAACAAATAACTTTTTATAATTCCAAACGGCAAGTTTCTTAAATAATTTATATAATGATTAAAAAGCATTTTGCATATTAAGCTAGGAATAAATTTTGTGCATAGATAATATGCGCACAGTGGCAATGACAAACATTTCATACCAAAGATTCTGTTGTAGTATATACATTTGGATTTATCGTCATTTATCATTCAATTTGCATTTTTGCTTTATTATATAATTGTTATAATGACTATTAATTATGTATAAATATGTATATAGATTTGTATACATCCGTAACATGTAACTGCCATGTCAATGCATGTTAATGTGTTATTTGCAATGATCTAGAACTTAAGAAAACAATTATGTTAATTAGAGATGCAATGGATATCCAGCAATTATCCGATATCCGGCCGGATAGTTTAGTTATCGGCCGGATTGTAAAAAAGTCGTTTTCCATCATTTGGATAGAAATTATATATATACAAAATTTTAATTTTCAAAATATTTTATATATATATATATCGGACCAATCTATAAACTACATACATATTCTTTTATTATGTTTAAACATTAATTAACATGTATATTGTAAAACAGTTTAAAAATTAAATTGAAATAATTTTTATGCCTTTATTCTTTGTTTGTATTACATTTTTGTTACATATTATTTTTTAAGTATTTTATATTTTTCATAAAAAATATGAGCATTTCTGCATTATTAGGCAATAATCTGTTTCTGTCTTTTGTATAAATGTTAAATCTTTATAGCATATTTATATTTTACATAAATTCTCTTCATTGTAAAAAAAATTAGATTTTCAAGTTTTTAATCTTCGTAAAATTCGGTTATCCGACTTAACCGGACAAAATCCGATATCTAGTTATCCGACAAAGCATTATCTGTTGCATATCCAGTATCCGGTTATTCGACAAATCATTATCCGTTGTATCCCTAATGTTAATTTTAGAAGTGTTCTTCGGCCTTTATAAAATAGTGGAACAATGAAAAAGAGAGAGTAACGTGAATAATCAAAATAGTATAATAAAGCTATTTCTGGAATAATATAGAGACAATACACTCGATAAATGTTAAAATCCGTTTTTATATATTAAAATAAGAATAAAATAAAGATCTATTTTCGCCTATAATATTCGTTGAAAGACATTGAATAGAATATATATACCTACACGATTTAGAATAATTATCATCACGTAGCATTTAATTATAGTCATCCATATTGCTGAATGTCGAAATTCCTAATCACGCAGAGACTAGAGAATTCACGTACGGATTCTATTTTTATAATAAGCAAGATAGATAAAAATAAGAGCATTTTTACGAGAACATTCTACAAATTGTAACATTTGAGGACAATAAATATCTCGAAAGTAATTACAGGGGATAATATTATCTCATTAATTATGCATCTATACGAGAACAGGTATTAGGTTGCTGTTACAACATTCATTCATTCCTTCTTTTAACTTAACAATATTATATCCATTTTTGCAGTTATTCACGAAGTTGACTATACATCTGGAGACACTGGTAGTGTCTCGGCGCTAAGCTACGCGCAGCGACACTACTGTGGCTACTTTACGCGAGCCGGCGAGTTTATTGATAACTTCTATACTATTGAAACAATAAATTTGAAAGGTGTTAATATATGCATATCTATAACGTTTTAAATTTTCGATCAACTTCGTAAATTACTATATATTGTTAACTTTCAAATAAAAAAGAAATATGTCTATGATTGGAGATGTTTTGTTAGCGAAGAAAAACAATTTTAATATATTTTATATTACACAACATTATTATAATTATAATATATGATTGCTTAAATAGTTTATTATATAGAAATAGGCAATTATATAGAAAATACTATTGCACTTATCATTGGTGAATGACATTTAAGAGAAGACCATTATAAATTATTTTAACTCTGTATTTATTTCTAGTATTCATAAAATCTCGCTATCAGTAATAGGTCAAACGGACTTAGATTATATTTAAAGCTACAAACGAAATTATTATCGAAGGAAAGGAGGAAAAGGGGAAGAAGCCAGAGGAGACGAGAGATGATTCATTTAATTATAAATAAAATGATTAAAAACACCAATATAGCAGTCAACACTCCAATGGCTACCCATTGTCCCCGATCTAAAACAAACGGAAAGTAACATCACATGCGTCACTCGAGATTCTTACGAGGTCGATGCGAATCATTTACGAGATTAAATTGCGATTATATTTCTATGAAGATACTCTTATCGTTTAACAATAATCCTGACTAGACAAAGATTACATCGAGATTTTGGAATAATTTTTGATGTTTTGTTTTTTTTACTTTGCCCATAAAAAATGTGGCAAACACTCTTTGTTAGTTCATTTTAAATATGATAAAATTATATAAATTAAATAAAATCCATATCGTTTTAATGAGAGATCAATTATAACATTTATATAATTACTCACGAAATTATGTGTGATCAAATATATTAAAAACTTCACGAACTATTTAGAAACGTAGCACATATTATTATTAATAATTATTATTACATCTTTTTAGTATATACTTTAAAAATTTTTATAAGATTTTTAAAACATTGGACTAGATATAAATAGATAATTTCGTGAGAAATTGTAGATAGCAATTTAAAAAAAATTAAGGAAATAGGAATATTTACAGTTGTTTACAGCTCACAATACAAATTGGTTCTTATATTTTATTCGTCAATGTATTTTATATTTTTCTTTTTTCACAATTGGTCGTCGACGAGAAAAAAGAGATAACAATTTTTACTACGTCTTCATTCAATTACATATACAATCTACGCTCTCCTTCTCAATTCGCACATATATATTATTTAACTGTCTCATGCAACTGTCTTCTCCAACAAAGAAAAATATATAATTATTATTACGTGTGAATGCGTATATGTTTTAACACATTTTTCTTTTCAATTTTGAAAAGTTCTCACTCTGTTTATGAAGAAGTTATATTTCTTCAAGATAATCTCTAATAATTTTATATAAGATTTCTTTTTCTCTCTTTGAATTTTAATTCTGAAAGATTAACAATCACTGCATAATTTTATAATTTCTGGATTTAAACTATTTAATATTTTCTTAAATGTTTAAATCTTTAGGAAGATTTGTGATTCTTTAAACTCTTTTAATAATACATACATTTTACTGTAGGATTAAAAAAATTTTATTTTGTCGTACCTTTAAATTTTCTTAATTCTTTGCCTTGAAAAGAAGATTCTAATTTCTCAAATCAATGTTTCACATGTAGATTTTTAATTATTAGTTTTTTAAATTTTTTAATTTTTCAATCGTTTGTCATAATTTATTTTCTCTAAAATTTTAATCTTTTTAAATCTTTATCTTTTCCTAAATTATTTACTTGATTTATGCATTTATTTCTTCAATCTTTCCGGATATAGAACTAAAATATATTTCGAGATTATCCTGTACATTTCTTCAATGTTCTTCAAGTTTATAAATAACTATTCTGCAACATACAATTCTACTAACAATAATCCCTCGAAGACCTGGTCTGTCCTGATTTTGATACTATACTCACATTTGTCAAAAGAGGGCTCAATATCTTTGGTAATTATAATTATAACAAACTACGCAAACTTACGTAGCAACAGTTAAAATTAATTAGGTCTCATGTATTATAATACTTTGTTCTCTAAAATTTACATCGGCTGATATAATATATTCATCTATCATAATCTATGCCCCAAAATGCCACTCGTCTGCATCTAATTAAAAGATCTTAATTTTCTTATATTATCTTCACTTTATTTCTACTTACAATTAGTGCTAATAATAATTAATGAAAAAGGTATAGCAAAAATGCAACACATGATAAATATCATTGGATGCTAAAACAAAAAATGTTAATAAAAACTTAAATTGGTCATTTTTTTTAGTAAAAATTATAAAATTAGTCAATTATTTACTAAATTTATCTAAATTAAATTTCTAAATATTAGAATAAAAAAAAGGAAGCTACTAAATTATCTTTAATTATTAAATATTATTTGTTCAAAATAGTTACAATTAATATTAGCTAATTATTAGCCAATAAATTATTTGTCCAAAATTATTATGTCTTAATTTTAAAATTACAAAGGAATATTAATTAATAATATAATAAAATTACTATTACAATATGTAATTAAAATATAAATAAGAGTTAAAAATGTAATTAACAACATACATAATTATTAACATAGTAGCAAAAATAATGTAACAGCTTTTTTTTTTAAATAATTTAGAAATAATTTAGTAAATAATTTCATAGGACAAATAGTGATATTAGTCCAGATTATAGGACAGCTAATTTTTTGCAATAATTACATACATTACATATAGGCTACTCATGTGCAACATCTCCATCTTTTCAACGATAATTTTTAAACAAATTTAGGAATGATATTTTTATAATTTAATAGGAGATTGTAAATCTCTCTTTTAAATTTCTAAACATTTCTAAAATTATACTTGTTACATAAAACTCGAACTTGCGCTACAAATAGAATTAAGTACATGTAGAATTAAGTGTACTTTTCAGAGATTATAAATAATCTTTTTTTCTTCATCTAAATAATAATCTAAAGAATATATATATATATATATATATATATATATATCTTATATATTGTGTTTTCGTATTTATATCGTGTTTTTAAAACCATTCAGATTGAAAATGTATCGGAAAATGTTACAATATCTTTTATTGGTACCCTCAAATTGTTTAAAGGCGCAAGACAATTAGCATGACAATTAATCATTAGAACACAAAAAACAATTGGCGATTGTGGTAGATAAAGAGGAAAGGGAGGAGGGTTTGTTATCAGAGACGAGATCGGTGACGCTGGATGTCACCGGAGTAGTAGGAGCGGGAATGTAATTGTTATAGTTACCATTACTCATGTGCAGCACCTTGGCCATCTTCTTCATGGTAGCGTCCAACTTGGAATCTGTCGTCTCTAATTCATTCCCGAATTCATCCAACATCCTGTGAGAAATTCATCTTGACATGTTGCAATAATAATGTAATACATTAATAGTGAACTTTTAATTATATACATTTCATTATCATTATTATTATTAATAAGTGTTATTGTTATGTGTAATTTCTTATATTTTAATTATAAGAAAAATAAAAAATTTATACTTTATAAAATTAATACTTTATAATTTTTTAAACTGAAAAAATAATAAAATATTAGCTTACACAGCTTGTTCATCTAGTTCACTGTTGATTTGCCTGGATACTGTTTTTAATGTACCAACTGTTTCCCCAATCATATCCAACTGTTCGTCCTGCTGTCTCATCATAGAATTTTGTTGTTGCATTGTATCACTGAGAAACTGTCTGTTTGGACTATCTATTTCATTTTCTAGCTTGCTGTATTTAGTAGTGCCATGATTAGCCGGCACTCTCGCAGGGCTGTTGTCCAAAAGCGGCTAAAAATATATAATACATCAAATATCATAACATAATTATCACAGATATATAACAAATGAAATTGTTGAAATTAAAATAATACACAACAAATAAAAATTAAAGACTTTAAATAGTTCAGTTGAATCTTTAGTATTTAAATAATTCCATGTGAATTTATATATTCATATCCAATCCTGTAAACTATACGCCAAATTTAATTTTCAGTTGTAAAACGCAATCCTAACAGATTAGAACAGTAATATCACAAATTAAATTGACAAACAATTTAATAATATTGATAAACTATCTTAGATGTCTATCTTAGAAAAATATAATGTAAGATAAATTTGCTTCTATTTATTTTTATATATTGTAAGACAGCACACGTACTTATCACGTATTTAATGTTTAAAATTTTGTAAATACTAAATTATCAATAAAAAAATTAAAAATATAATACTTATCATAAATCAAATAAGAAAAAGAAACTAAAGATAAAAATCATTTCCTGCGAATTCTTGGAGACATGATTTTCTCTTACACAAATACCAATTACTGCGCGAAACTTAATTAAGTTTAATAACGAAAAAAGTTAAAACTGTGTATACCATTGTCGTTTGCGAGGATTAGTAGACTGATTTATTAATTCTATAACGAGTGAACCATCAAAATAATGCTACTTGATAAGACATGACGAATCACTAAATTGAGGTTAGAGTGACTGAAATGCGTCAACGGCGTCAACTAACAGCAAAACGATATTGTTCAATACTGACAAAAAAATTGGACCGATAGATGTCACTGTCGCTGAATAAAGCTGAAAACAGCTGAAGATAGCTGCGAATTGTTTATAAACAATTTTAATTTTAATCTTGAAAACCCCACTTTTAATTTAATGAAAATAATGAATTTATCTCAATATTTCAAAAGATAAAAAAAAATGTTATTTTCATTAGTTCAGCGTTAATTACTGTATAAAATAAATAGATGAAAGAAAATTCACAATTCGGAACTGTGAATGAAGGTTTAAATTTGATAAAGAAATTCGTATTCGCGATTCAAATTAAAATTCAAACTCGAATTTAGATTTCAATTTGTGACAAATGTCAAATTATTTAGGTTATAGCGAGTGTTTTTGTGAGCATAGACATTTAAAAAACCTTATATATATTCGTAACATATATAAGAATGGCTAGGTTAAGATATGAAAAATTCAACCATTATAGAAACCCAATTTAATACTGAAAATTATTACCAGTATTAAATTTTTATAAAAAAATACATCTCTTAAATTTTAATCTCTTAAACTTTTAATGTTAATCTGAGATGTATTAGTCATTCAAAATATACATATGTATATATGAGGTGTTTCCATGTGATACAGTGCTATCAAATGTAGTATTATATGTATATATAGGTGTGTCATAGTATTAACTTTAGTAAATATATACAGTAAGGCCCAGTTTCATAATTCATGGTTAACTCAATCGAGGTTCAACTTATTCATTATTTCTTTTCAATTCTAGAATTAGAAAAAAAATGAGAAATAAGTTGAATCTTGGTTAAGAGTTAATTGTGAGTTGTGAAACTGGGTCTTACTAGTCAGAGTGTATACATTGACTATAGCAGACTACGCAGTAAATATATATATACATTTAATTCCCTGAGTTAACCCCTTTGGCTAAAATATTTTATATATATATATATTATATATATATATATATATATATATATATATATATTTATCTATAATATTAATATAAGTGCTGTACATTCTTAAAATAAAAAGAAGATTAATGATAAAAGGTTATTCGTTGGGATTATTCTTTTAGTTCCTTGTTAAACGATTGAAATTGTCGGACTTGCCGAGTACGTTTTCGACTCATTTCTTTTTTTCTCACTTACTTTTATTTTTCCAATTTCTTCAATTTCTCTTGTTTTTGTTTTTTTCAACCAATTATTCAGACGCACTGCTTATGTTCTTTAATTATTTTCTGGTTGCAACATATATGTACAACTTAATACTTACAATTAGCATGCTAAATACAGTTACATGATGTGGAGTATAAGTAAAGCGAAACGCAATGTATATACAAACCTGTCTTGCCGTGCTGTCACGATCCCGACTTCTGCTCAAGTTCAGTTTGTCCTTCATGATCTGCGAAAGTTTTAATAAGCGAATAGAGCCATTAAGGTGATATTAGTCTCGCAAACGCGGGCGCTTTCGTGAACGTGTTAATATATGTAACGAAGCATTGCGTGACTATGAATCGTAATGCAAATATAGCAATATATAAGTAATTGCAGTGATTATGTACAATATAAATTACATTATGTGTTATATATTATTATATGTTATATTTATCTTATGTAATTTAAAAAGTGGATATTAGATATTTAATAAGTAATCGTAATATGAGGCAATTTTTAATTGCTTGCTAAAGTAACTCGGAAAGAAAATAGATTTTCCTCTGTATACAGAACTGTTTTTAAGTATCAATTAAATATTTAATTAATTACCTTGACTTCCTCTCGTGCCTGCTCAATGAAACTCCGTTGAACGGTCAACTCCTTGTTGTCGATTTTGAACTTTGTTGGATTTTTTTCAACGATACGTACACACGCATTAAGGACGATATAAAAAATTCAAATTTAAATTAAAAAATAGATTTAAATTTGATAGAAATTTCGACATTTATCTACATTTCTATTTCAAACTTGAACTCATTTAAATACAAATTTGAAGTCAAATTCAATTATAGTAAATTGTATTGGAATGTTTCTCTCAGATTGAAAAAGGATATAGATAGTATCCTCGAGGTCGTCGAGGTCCCACTCGATGGAACGAAGTGCTTTCCGCAATTCGGTGGTGGTCCAATCGAGTTCGTCTGTACGTGAGATTGCAGTGGCTGAGCCACTCAGCGGTATACCGGTCGGCGACGCGATCGCGACATTCTGCAGCTCGCTCCAACGACCGTACAAGCCGCGATTCTTGTTCAACGCCTTGCACACCTCGCTGAAACAGTCCAAGCCAATTAAAACACACTGCTGGTCACGCGTAATAGCCTAAATCTAAACAAATTCACATAAAGCATTGCAGGCACGTACAAATCAATCGATGATACACGTCCTAGTGTAAAAAACACGGCGATTCAAATTCAAATCTATATTCAATCTAACATTCAAATTTTAAACCTTAATTTAAATTTAAATTAAATTTGATTACACTTTCATATTTATGCTTAAGTATTTATATTCATTATTATTTTTTGTATAAAATATGTGATTTATCTCTAGAAAAATATTTTTACGCAAATTATAAATATAATTTCATACAAAATTATTCGGATAAAGTTCTCTTTGTACTATTTGTATTTTTTTCAATTTTTACTGTAAGATAATTAGACAATTGAGGAGCAGACATTCAAAATGCATTTTATCCAAAATTTCAATTTTTTTAGTTAGAGATGGTGTAGTGTTCATTGTTGAAAGACTTATATTATAAGCTACTCTGAGACGTTTAGAAAGCATTTTTTCATCGTTAATTTATATGCTGAAAAAACAGACATTTCGAAGTGCATTATGTTTTTTAACTAGAGACAAACAAAATGCATTTGTTTAACATATTTAGCAACTTTGTTTAATATTTCCCATCCTACTGATTAGCATATTGTTATTTTCTATAAAATGCATAATTTTCTTGTGTGTGGAGTTTCTTTTTTTCTCGTTTTCTGAAAAAATTACAAATTTTTGACAAAACGCATTTTGAAAGTCTACTCCTCAACTACAATTCTTCATATATAAATATTGCGGGACAGATTAGTGTCTCACATATATACATATATATATATATATACATATATATACATATATACATATATACATATATACATATGAAACATATTTTATATTACATTATATCATTTATCTCAATGCAATTCTGTAACAACACCAATATTTACTCCATTATGTATTCTAATATTTTTAATTGCAATGTTATATTAATTAATTAAACAGTGCATTAAACTGTTATTAAAAAATTCTCTCGCTCAAATTCAAAGATTACAATAAATTATTACAATATTTAATAATTATTAGAAACAATTTCGCCATATCTAATCGTCCGAACTGTATCTAATCTTAAGGAAAAAAAATCATAGATATTTCGTAGATAGAGCTCCTTTTGCAGACATATCTACATTAAAAAAAAAAAAAACATTCCGGCCGCTCCGTTTCTTTGACCGAAAGAATCATTTCGACAAATTCTATCAACGTGTAACATCATGCAACATTTATACAAAGAATCCGTCACACGTATTGGTCTGTCACGTCAGAGAATTATCTCCTGTCAAAGCAATATGTCAGTCGGAGATAACTATCGCGACGAGAGGTGACATGTCTCGAAACAAAAACGATAATTCCGTTATCACGTAAATTCGCATCTAATCCGACGATATCACGCCGATACCCGATATTGGTTAATTGGTCCTCTTATCGGTCGCGCCGTTATCCTTTTCTTTTTCTTTTCTTTCGTCAGATTCGTGCCGATTCGTACGACGCGCGACGCACGTCGATCGCGCGGAGGAAAAATCGATGCACTTGCTCCTTGGCTCCTTCCCCGCGGCGCACTTACTCCTTGACGACAAAGAACGGGTTCTCCAGCGTCATTCCTCTATCCGCACCGTCTTTGAATTTAAAGCCTGGGCCGCGGCCTGTCTCGCCGCG